ATTTCAGCAAAATTACAATTGAACTGAATGTCTCAAGAATATGAACCTAACGACACCAAATTCGACTCAATTTCAAATAAAGGGTCCGAAGAGTTATTTGAAGGTTTAAACCACAATTTGGATAACTAAACAATTTTCAAAAATAACATGCTTATAATCGAATTGAGCGGCTTGATGAGACGAATCCAATGAGCCCAAGATCATAGAATCCAACATCATTAAGACCTTCAAATGTCCAGTGAACGGTCCATGATCAAGGGATTCAACATCTGCCGTCCATCCAAACCACTCCCCATTTACCCTTGATCTTATTCTTATTTACGGACAATGCCACTCTAGGAAATTTATAAATAGACCCCTCATTTCTCTTAAAAAATGACCCTTAACCCTAAGGAGAAAAGTGAGAGATTGGATATCTCTCTTGCCTCCTTGCCTCCTCAGACACTGCCTGGAGTTACGCCAGACCACCACTTGAGGCTCTCAGCTTCGCCAGACAACCACTTGAGGCTCTGAGCTCCACTGAACCACCACATGATGCCTGAAGTTCTGCCAGACCACCACCTGAGACCCTGAGTTTTTTCAGAACACCACTTGAAGCCTTGAGCTCTGCCGAACCATCACCTGAGGCCTTGAGTTCTGCCAAACCACCACTTGAGGCCCTGTGCTCCACCAGAACACCACCTGACATATAAAGTTTTGTCAGACCTTCACATGACATCTTAAGCTCTACCAGACCACCTCTTGATGCTTGGAGTTCCACCGGACTACCACTTGACTTCTTATGCTCCGCTGGACCACCGCATGACTCCCTGAGCTCCACCGGTGCACTACTTGACGTCCTTAGCTCTGTTGGACCACCGCTTGATGTTGGAATTCTTCCAGATCACCTAATGACCCCGAAGGTCCACCAAACCATCAAGTGTCATTAAATTTTCATTTACCCTTTACTTCAACCATATAGTTCATATTTGTAATATGATCTTCCTCAGGTGTGAGTCAGCCCACTATAACCTTTTCAGTGGTTTCTACATAAAAATATTGTGTTCTCTGTGTGTGAGCTGGATATCCATGCAACGCTAAGATGTAGGATCATAACTCTATCACCGTGTATATTCTAGCCCATAATAGTTTTGTGCCATTTGTGGGAAAATCAATCCCACTATCCTAAGAACCACTACGATGGCTAACATGCATAGTAATTGCATCTTGGGAGCACCTCGCTCTAACTCACACTAATCTAGGAATTAGTCTATGAATCATGGACACCAAGTATCCATCTCTTTTTATATTGGGGGGGAAAAAGATGCTATAGAAGGAATTTTAGGACCTTTCCTAGAAGACCATATCCAAAAGATGGAGGAATATCCGAATGAGATCCTTCAACTCCTGCGAGAGTCTCGACAATCAGCACTAGCACTACATGAAGAGAATCTTCTCCTTCAGGATCCACTAGTTCAACCCAAACATCTTTATGTAGAGATTCTTCTTTCTTTGTCGAGAATCCATCCTCCATCACAAAAAGACAATAAACTTGCTGATATAGTAAGCTCTACCCATCCTTCGCATGCATATCAACAACCTCGTATTCTTATGGATGTCCTAGGGGACCTAGCCCAACCACATGGTGGTCAACTCTCTTATAATGCCCTATATCATGAATTATGAAAATTGGTCCGAGAAGAGTTCCCCATTAGAGGAATAAGAAAATCTCGTCGTCATTGGGACTTTTAAGAGTCATCCCCCCTAACTGAAGTAATCCTTCTGTTACGAATCTGATTTTAGGGAATATAATTATGATGATAGCAAACATATCTATTTTTTTATGACTGCCTTGCATACTAACATTTTAGATCCACAAGATCAAATTATAAATCTAAATAGCACAGGATTGGGTAGATTAGGACCGAGTCAGCTTGTAATGTGCGTCAGGTATCTTTTACCTTTTATTGAATCCATTATAACAATATGGGCCCTGATGCTAAGTAAACTTACACACATATACTTGAGGGAAAATTTATAACTATTTGATTAGAGTTTTCTATTTTTTGATCACATCATCCGGGACGATCCAAAAATTGTCCTAGATGATCAGTTAAAAATATAAACCCTAATTAGGGCATCCTAGTTAAGGCAATCGTCATTAAGTGAATCGTCCTAGATAATATTAGCATCGTCCGGGATGATAGGCTCAAATAAGAAATAATCAGCCACCATATCTATTTAGGCATGTTTTATTTTTGAACATCATCCTGGACAATGCAGTGCAATTATACCTAAATTAATCTAGTAATTAAGGAAAATAATTAATGTTTAATTGTTCAATCATATCATCCTAAACGATCGCATGATCATTTGGGATGATCTGTTAACAAACCTTAGTTCTTCCTGGATGATGTATAATCAGCTTGGTTCCATTCAGGGCAATGCTTTGGACAATATGTATTGAATTAAACTAATCATCCTGGATGATTAAGAGATTGGCCTGGATGATCAATTTATTTTTTCATCACCCAGACATCCATTCCGGGCGATGTTCTGGATGATATTGGTTTTTTTATACTAATCGACCCAAACATTTATGAGATCGTCCTGAACGATTTAGTTATTTTTCCATCATCCAAACATCCATCCAGGGCAATGGTCTGGATGATATTAGATGACTTGAACTAATCATATAGGATGATATCCTATCATTCTGGATGATATCCTATTGTCATGGATGATCTGAATAAAGTATTCTTCTAATAATCCAAACTATTCCAAATCGTCCTGACTAATTGAACTAAATTTGTACTGATCGTACAGAACGGTCGGCTGATAATCCTAGATAATAATGTCAATTTGTTACAATTAAGAATAACTCTGAAGCTCTTCTATATAGACCTCTTGTTTTACCCAAGAGTGTATCTTTGCTGCTGTCCTAACCTGAGGGAGCCAAGAGGAGAGGGAGAGTAAGAGAGAGAGAGAGAGAGAGAGAGAGAGAGAGAGAGAGAGGATCTTGTGAGGGGGAGTTTGTGAGGGGTTTCAGAAAGGTTGCTCCAAGTAAGGGTCTGAGCGTCTTCTCCGTTCGTCGTTCCTAGTTCCTTGGAGGTTCGAGAGAGGTCTACTTTAGCAACTAATCAAGGTTCTATGTCTGCTTCTAGAGAAAGCAAAAGGAGTTGGTTTCTCTGCCTGCTTTAGGAGGAAGCAAAAGGAGTTGGATTCTTTGCCTACTTTAGGAGGAAGTAAAAGGAGTTGGGTTATCTGCCTCATTGGGGTCAGTAGAAAGGAGCTTTTATACGAGCTTCTCCGCCTTGCTATGGGGGAAAAAGGAGAGACACCGAGTTTAGCGCAATACCTAAATGAGAGGCTCCAGGGAGTGGATGTAGGTCAAGTTGACTGAATAACTATAAAATATGGTGTATTCTTTCTTATTATTCTTCTGCATTTAATTTCCACACTTCTTTACTCTAGTGATGAATTTTGGTTTGGTTGTGTTTGTATTTTTATTTGGAGAAATTTTTTAAATACCAATTCACCCATCATCTTAGTTAGCCTCGGGACTAGTTCAAAAGGGCCTAACATCTTTGACAAACTTTCAAGTGGTATCAGAGCGAGATTTATAAAAATGAATTTTTGAAAACTTTTAAATTTTGATCAATGGCTAAGTTATCGTAATACTGTAGAAGGGTATTCTATTACCCGACCACCTTTGTTTGATAACATTTCTTTTGATTTTTGGAAAACTTGCATGTCTATGTTTTTGCAATCGATTGATTATCGCATGTAGATGCTTGTTAAGGATGGTTATTCACCTCCGTCTCATGAAATTAATGGCAGCCAACCGACTGCGGTTAAGCCAATGCCAGCTAACCGACTGCGGTCGGCTCCGATAAGCCCAAGCAGCATGGCCACGTCAGCCCCGCCCGGGCACCGGTGGTGCAAGACGGGCCGGAGCATCGGCCAGGTGAGCCGCGGCAAGGGCCAGGCAGGCCAGAGCGCATAGGGCGGTGCGGGCGGCTCCGTCGACGGCGGTGGCGATTTTCAACTGCGACTGGCTACTAGACCATCCCAACTTGATTTCGAGCCCAATTTTTGGCCCAAAAAGGTTAAATCGAATTTTTTTGGGGTCTGCGGAGCCATTATTCGACATTCCAGACTCAATTTTTATACTTTTAAGGCCTTTCAGGACCTATATGCCCAAATTTAACTTATTTCAAGTTTTCAAATCACACAAAAAAATTCCCCAATAGCTACAAACATATTTTCAGACTTCTAGAGCTTTAATGTCCGAAAATAGAAGGAAAGCTTATACATCATCAAAAAATTATCTTGATCGTGCATGAATCTCGAGGCAAAATAAAATTGGAAACTTCTTAAATTAAAATTGGGATCATTCGAACTCAGATTTCAGTAAACTTATAGTTAAACTGAATGTCTCAAAAAATGTAAACACAATGATATAAAATTTGTCTTTTAATGTTCAAAATCCTATAAAGACAATGACAGAAGACAATTATGAGACTTCTCTCGAGTGACAAGTTTGTATGGTAAAATTTATCAGGAAAATCCTAGCTAGTGTCTTTCTTTCTAGGCTCAAGCTTGTTTCAATTAATCTATCTTTTTCTCTCTTCATTTGTTCATTATATTTTATCTTTTAGCATGTTAGAATCTTGAGAGTACGATATTGATATTATCCATAGAAAAATTTAAATTCAACATTGTGAAAGTTAAACATCATCAATAGACTACATCCTCACCAGCCTAGCTTGGCTTAACCCTCTGTCAAATGCCACATGCCCTACACCCATTAACCGCATTATCAAGGCTACAAAACACACCAGCTTAGGAAGAAGCTTCTTATTTGTCAATGCCCTTTAAAAAATGAACAAGTTATATTCTGATTAACATAAAAAAAAAGAAGCTGATCAAGGCTTTGTTTAACACGAATTTCTTATTATTTCTTAAAAAAAAAATTTAATACTAAAAAATAGGAAGAAAATCATTCCAAATAAAACCTGTGACCAATACATTATTTATTTCTTCTTATCGAATAAATTTTCATTTCTAGTATTGAAGAGAATTGAATTACAACCACCCAATAAAATTGTACCAATCTTATCTTCTTACAAACCTTTTTATCACCCGGAAAAACACATTCCAGTCGCCCGTTTTATTCTCTTTTTTATTTCTTATCTAAAACCATATTTATTCTGCTGAGGCTGAGCATCTTCGTAGTTAAAAAATTATTTCCCATTCAATTCAAAAGCTTCAACGGTCTCATCATCATATTATCTTCGTGATCCAATATCTGCCATCCAAATACAAATAAAAAAAAAAATCCAATAGTTTCATAGTAAAATCATAGTACAGGAAGGGGAGGAGGCTGCTTACATGGCAGTGGTAGACGTAACCCGGCTCGGCGGCGGCGTCGAACAGGTAAGGCTTCTCGGACCGCAGCATCGCGAACCGGACCAGAATCCGGGTCACGAAGCCGGGCTGCATCTTGAACACATTCTTCCACCCCTTCTCGTGGGCCGGAACCGGGTCGGTCCGCCCTTTCGCGTGGTCCTTCAGACGACACTTGTCCACGTCGTTGATTCTCATCATGCAATCCTTCAACTTCTCAACCTCAACCAGCTCACGCTGCTCCAGCACCACGAACAATCCCAGATGTATGTGAAGCGGGTGGTTATCGTCCGTCAAGTTGATCACGTGCCACACCTCACTGGTTCCTGAGCGCGGCGTTTCTGTCACCGGCGCGTCGTACGGCTTACCGTTGATGTACAAATGGGTCGGCTCACCCGTCGCACTCTCATACTCGAACATCGCAATGTACCGCGTCGCCGCTGCTCGGTGCTCCGGCGTAGGAGGCGGCGGCGGGGGCAGCAGCCGCTTTGGCACGTGCGACGGGTCTTGATGATTCTTGTTGCCGGGGTAAATAATGAATTTCATCACCTTTCTGCTGAATTCGTCCGGCTGGTCTCCGGTGGGGAATGGGTAGGACGCGTCATTGAGGAGGATGAAGGACTGGCTGGGAGAATCTGCGAAATTGACGATAACGTCGGCGATTTCGGAGGGGCCGAGGAGAAATTTTCGGGAAGGGACGGGGCGGGAGAGGTAGACGGAGTCGGATGAAATGTGTAGGAATGTGAGGGAATTGGAGAAGAAGAGGCGGTAGAAGCGGGCATTGCTTGCGTTAATGATGCGGAAACGGTAGCGGCGAGGGCGGACGCGGAGAAAAGGCCAGGCCTTGCCGTTGACAATAAGGGCATCGCCGAAGTACTCTGGCTGCCATTGGGGATGGATGGAGGGGTTGTTGCCGGTGGAGTTGATGAAGAGGGAGCCGTCGGAGAGGAAGCTGCGGTCGAAGAGGATGAGGTGGCGGTCGAACTCGGGGCCATGGGGGAGGCGGAGGGGGGATTCGAGGGCAGGGGAGCGGAGGGTGTAGGCGCCGAGGAGGCCGGCGAGGATGTTGACGCGGGTAAGACCGATGGCGTGGTCGTGGTACCAGAGATTGCCGGGGTCTTGGAGATTGGGGTAGGAGGAGGTGGGGGAGGAGAAGGAGGGGCCGACGTAGGAGAGGTTGGAGGTGAACCAGGCGTGTGAGTGGCCGTCGCTGGTGGGAGGGTGGACGCCGCCGTGAAGGTGGACGACGGTGGGGACGCCGGAGGGGGCGGATGGGATGGGGATGGTGGGGTCCCAAGATAGGATATGGCGGGACGGGAGGTGGTTTTCCCAAGTTATGTGGGTGGGAATGCCCTGCAAAGCTTCGATGGTTGGGCCGGGAACGGTGGCGGCGGCCCGGGAGGTGCCGTAGGCGTAGACACGGGTTGCGGGAAGGTCCCGGTGGAATTTCTGCGGTTTAGATTTTCTAATATATTAATTTGATGAAAAATAGAAAAATATTAATAATAAGATTTATCCAACACATGAGATTTGATAAACATTGGCTTCAACTGAAAATAAAGATTCTCCAAGCAAATATCTAAATATCACATTTATAAGAACTCCTATAAACTTTTTTCATCAAAATCCATAAATCTAATTAAAATTACATAGTGGTTGAGCCCTCCATTGTTTAAACTCTTGTTGGAATCATAACCTGATAAGTTTGATAATGAATGATTTGGAGGCATAAAAATAGGATTCCTATTGTTGCTCAAGTGATTTCACTAACAACTCCAGTCAAAAATTAGATTTTGTTTGGGATGATTTTCTTCCAGCTTCTTAAAACATTTTTTTTTAATACAAATTAAAATTTTTATATTAAAAAAAATACTTTAAGAACGAGAAAGAAAGTCGTCCCAAACAAAATCTTAGATGAGGGCATTAGCTTCCAAATGTTGTCATCAAAGAGAATAAAGAAGGTAGGATGCCAGAAGGCTTTTCAATGCATTTTGTTTTATAATTCCTCACATGTATGCGAGAAGGCAGGTGATCCTGGTTAATAAGTATTTGATTGAATGGACTAAAACATACATATAAGTCTGACAAACTATAATTCATTAAACAAACATAAAGCTGAGAATGACAACTTGTTTTATAATTCCTCACATGTATGCGAGAAGGCAGGTGATCCTGGTTAATAAGTATTTGATTGAATGGACTAAGACATACATATAAGTCTGACAAACTATAATTCATTAAACAAACATAAAGCTGAGAATAACAACTTTTTAAATTAAAATTTTAATTCATCAAA